TCTAACGGGCACCGCTGGGACTATGGGGAGGGTCCCACAGTTTGTCCGTGGGTGTGGGAGGTGTTTCCCACCCTCTTCTCCCTATAGGACCCTCTTGTGCACCCCTGGGACTATGGGGGATCCCCTCAAGTTGTGTGGGTCCCTCAAATTTGGGGTGGGGAAGTCCCCAGATTTGTCCATGGATGTGGGGGCTGCTCCCCACTCCAAGGTGTTTCCCACCCCCTTCTCCCCATAGGACCCCCATGGGCACCCCTGTGACTATGGGGGGGTCCCCTCAGTGGGATTGGTCCCCCAAATTTGGGGTGGGGGTCCCCAAATTTGTCCATGGATCTGAGGGGCTTCTCCCAACCTTCTTCTCCCCACAGGACCCCCCCCCATTCCCACGATGCTGCCCTGGAGCTCCCGGGCTCTGCTGCTCCTCTGCGCCGGGATTTTGGGGGGGCTGGGCCTCGCTGCCCCCCCAGAGGAGGTGGGGACCCTCCCCCAGGGAACTGGGGACCCCCCTCAAGACACCCCGGGTGACAACCAGTGCTGGGATGAAACCCCAGCCTGGGAGGTGTCACCCCTGGACTCCTGTCACCATCCAGGGTGGGACCCCCCTGGCTGGGAAAGGGGGGTCCCCGGAACCCCCCACCCCGGGCACCACCTTGCTTGGTGTGGGGGTGTTTTTTGGGGAGTGAAGGTCAAGTTCTGGGGGATCCTCACACTCTTTTTTCATATTTTTCACCCCAAATTCCCCCCTCTCTGGGCCCCCACCCTGCTCTGGGGGCTGAGGGCTCGTTTTGGGGTGTCCGTGGGCACCTCCATGGGGGACGGGGGGGTTTGGGGCCACTCACCATCACCAACCTCCCGAATATTCCCCACAGGAGGAGCTGTGGATGAGGCTGGTGCTGGATGAGACCCCCGTGGTCCAGCTCCTGGAGGACGTCGCCCACCGGATGGGTACGAGCCGGCTCTGGAATGCTGAGACATCCCCCACCTTGGGATCGTTCCAAGGATGCTGAGACATCCCCCTGTCCCACTTTGGGATTGATCCAAGGATTTTGAGAATCCCCCTGTCCCACCTTGGGATCGATCCAAGGATGCTGAGACATCCCCATATCCCACCTTGGGATTGATC